TCTCCCCCCACAGCTGCAGCGGCAAGGGAAGGGGGTTGGTCCCAACGCCCCCCACCTGAAACTGCACCCACCCGGGCCCAAACCACACAGACACCTGGCACAGGTATCCCCCGGCCCGGGCACCCCAGGACTTTTCTGCTGCACACTGCGGGTCTCGGCTCAGGATCCCCGGAGCTGGACACTGGGCTTTGCCTTCCTACCGGGGTGCGGTGAGCTCTTCTTCCTCAGGGCATCGCCCTGCTTGGACCCTGGGTCCACTGCCCGCTCCTAGCACGGGGCAGGGCCCTGGGGCCAGCGACACCCTATCCCCAGTACCCGCAGGTGCCAGCCCTGGTAGCCTGCCCCACAACCAGCCCCCGGCGATGCCCAACCTGGTGGATGCCAAGACCCCGGGGGCGTGGAGGAGACAGACCCAGGGCCCAGCTGGCCCTCTCTGCCCCCCACCCCAATGCACTGCTTTCTGCCCCCACGGGGTGCAGCCCCCCCGCCAGCAGGGCTTGGCCCCGGCAATCACAGCCCCCCCGCCCGCGGCCGGGCAGACTCCCGCCCCCGCGCCCGCTCTGCGCTGTTTAGATTAGCGGGTAACGTGCTGGAAATAATTGCCTTCATCAAGAAAGGTTAATGAGGCTGCCGCCGGGTGCAGTGATGCCGGGGGGCGGTCGTGGCTCCGGGACGTACCCCGCTGCCCGCAAGGTGGGCAGGGGCCCAGCTAGAGCCCCGCGGTGCCCTGCTGCCCCCTCCATCACCCCAGCTGCCCCCGAGCACGGGCTCCAGCTCCCCCTTGTCCCGTCCACAAACCACAGCGGCTACCCCGGCTGCGGGACGCCAAAACCACCCCGTGCAGCACCAGGGGGCAAGGGGATGCTGCGGCAGGAGACGAGCCCTGGTGTCTGCCCCCTCTCCCCCCCATGTCTCAGGGCTTGGGGCAGGCAGCGAAGACCCCTGGCCCTTGCCCAAAGTGCTGGCACGGCTGGGCGATGGGCCCTGACGAAGCCCCCGAGCCCAGAGCTGCCGCAGCCCGGAGCTGCTCCGCGGGGGCCGCGCTAACGAGTCCCCTGGCAGGTCCCGTGCCCAGGGGCCAGGAAGCAAACAGGGTTGTTGCTACGCGGCCTCCAGCTGCTTGGAAAAACACCCCCTTCTCCCCCAGGGACGCGCTGCCAGGTGGAGCCAGCGCCTGGCAGCCCGGGGCGGAGGCTGGGGGTGCCGGGACCCCCATGCGATGAGGGGGCTGGAGGCCTGGCGATGGGGGGATCCGACCCCCCGGCCCCTGCAGCAGCTCGGTCCCCAGTCCTGGCTGTGGGGGTGCTCTCAGCTGCTGCAGAGCCTGGGGGGACCCAGGAGCCACCCCCTGCTCCCCGGTGTGTGGCCCCGATCCTGCCCCTTCCCCACATCCACCCCAGGCTGGGAGCCATCGGGAGGCCCCAGAGAGACCAGCCAGGGACCAGTGGGCACAGGGGGGCCTTGGAGCATGGGGAGGAAGCACAGCATGGTGCAAACCCCAGAGAACTGGAGCCACGGGCTGGGCAGGGAGCTGCGGGGTCTTGTCCAGTCCAGCCCTGCCTGAGGCAGGATCAGCCCCGTCCAAACCCCGTGCCCAACACGACACAGTCACCCCGACACAGCCCCAGGCATCGCCTCCGCCCCCAGGAAAGCAGAGGGGCCGCGGCTGCCAGCATCCTGCTGCTGCCAGGGGGGGTCGTGGGCGCTGCAGAGACCCCCTGCCCAGGCCGTGCCCCTGCTGCAGAGGAAAGGGAAACCCCCAGGGTGACCAGTCTGAGCAGGTGGAAAATCCCTTCCTGCCCCAGTGCAGCGCGGGGGAGCGCGGGGGCAAAACACTCCAGCCAGGACCCTGCGAAGTCGGTGCAGAAGGAGCACTGGCACAGCCCAGCCCATCCCCAGCCTGGGCTGCAGCAGCACCAGCGCCGCTGGGGGAGGCTTCAAACCCCCTGACACGTGGCGCAGAAAGTGGAGAAGGGGGCAACCAGCAAGGCCCAGATGCCTGGGACCCCCCCCTCCCCGCAACACAGCAGAGCACGGGCATCGCTGCGCCTGGATCATCCCCCCAGCGCCCGCCCAGCCTCTCCTCGCATCCTCCAGTGAGGGAGAGTCCCCCCGTCCCCACCCCACCTGCCCCCATTGGGGGCACTTCCCAGGGCCGGGGTGGGGGCGGCTGATGCTCACAGCCAATGGGCCGTGTCCAGTGCTCGTTAGGAGCCAGCCGCACCGCTCGCTAATTGCTCTGATTTATGCACTGGCAGTGCAGGGGGGAGGGAGACGGGGGGCGGCATGTGGCACTCGCTGAGCTGCGAGCACCATATGGAGCCCATCAATCACCGTGCGCCATGGCGGGGCGGGTGGACGGGGGACGGACCAGGCTCCTCCTAGCTCACTTGTGCCATTTAACGTCCCGCGTTGGCACCCTGCTGTGGCACGTGCACGGCCCTGGTGCTTGCACAGTGACACTCGCACGGCCCCCGCCCTTGCACAGCAGTGCTTGCACAGCCTCGATGCTTGCACAGCGATGTTTGCACGGCCTTGACATGCACGCAGTGACACACAGTACACAGACATGGCCCTCGCACAGCTACGCTCACACAGCCCTGGTGCTCTCACAGGGACACTCGCAGCACTTGCACAGCACAGGCCATAGAGCAGCATCTGCCCCTGCGGCCTCTGCTGAGCCATGGGGCAGGGGCGGGGGAGCCTGAGCCCCCCGGACTGGCAGGGGGAGCAGGGCCTCGGAGGGGTCCCCAGGGGTCTGGGGCGGCTCCGCGGGGCTGCAGCCAAGTCATCTGGGCTCCCCCAGGTATGTCCAGCCGGCTGCAGCCTCTTGCCATCCCCCTCCACAACTGCCTCCTCGTGGGGTCCCAGGCTAGAAGCACACCATGAGCAGCCTCGGCCCCAGCTCGGACCACGGTCCCCACAAATCCCAGCCCGTGGCCCCAAGATCAGCCCCCACAGGCCCCACGCCCCGGAGCTCGGAGGCTGGAGAAACCCGGCCGGGAGACAGATGCAAAGCTGCTACCCCATGCAGCCCCCACCTGCTAATTAACAGATTGCACTTGTAAATGATTAAGAAGTCAGAGCTAATTCAGGGCCGGGCGCTCATCACGGCTGCCGGAGCCTGCTCGCGGGGAGATGAGTTTAGCCGGTCGAGCGGGGGAAAGCAGGGCTCGTCTCTCCGGAGCCGTGGGCTGGGGCAAGCTAGACAGAAACGGCCCCCGAGGGCACCTTGCCGGGCAGAAAGGTTGGGGTGCAGGTGATCCCTGGTCCAGGTTCGAGGCCATGGTGGGCCCAGGTGGTTGATCCAGGCCGTGGCCCGGTGTCCACCTGGCCCTGGGGTCCCTATGGGACAATGATGACCCGTCTGGAGTCCTAGATGCATCCTGGGGGCTGTGGGAAAGGCCGAGGATTTTAGCTGGAGCTGGCAAGAGAGATGGGGCTTTGGGGCACACATGTGACACACGCAGGCTTCACACACCTGCCTGGGCCCACGCACACTTCTCCCCCAAAAGAAGCCAGAGCAGCGGCTGGAGCTGCTCCTTCCCCCACGAGAAACGCCCAGACCCTCGGGACGCAGCCACGGCCTTTGCCCCTCTCTTTGCTGGGGGAACTTTTGGAGGCTAAAGTCCCCCAGGGATGGCAGGGACCACAGGAGACAGCTTGCCCTCTGGGGTGGGGATCCGACCTCCCTCTGGCTGTGTGCTGCCAGGGCATTGGGGCTAAGTAACATGACCGGGGGCAGAGAGCAGGTCAGTGGCAGAGCTGGAAACGGTCCTCCAGGCTCCTGGCTGCTTTCCGCCAGCTCTTCTAGGCTGCAGCCAGCTGGGCACAGACGGGCCCAGGCCACAGTGCTGAGGGAGCCTGAGCGGCGCTTGTCCCTGCCACATGCTGAGAGCAGCCCTCTCCCCTCCGCGTGGCGTTCGCCCAGCACGGCTGCAAGACCCCCCAGGCCCAGGTGCTGCCCTGGCTGGATAATCATGGATGGGGCAACTGTGTCATGCGGGTCCGAGGTCAGACACGGGGCTCGTCTAAGCTGGTTTGGACAGGGCTGATCCTGGTTTGGACGGGGCTGATCCTGCTGGGCTGGATGTGACCCCGCAGCTCCCTGCCTACCCCACGGCTCCCGGGCCCTGGCACAGACTCTGCAAAGCCGCCCGCCTGCTCCTGCCCCGGGCCCGGGGTTCTGCTGGGGGGTGCAAACACAACCCGTCCTTTGGTGGCTCCATCTCCCCACCTCTGCTGGGCACCAAGGAGGGCCGGACCCCTGTGACCTCTGACCCCTGGGTGCCCACACTGCAGGACGGTCCAGATGCAGAGCAGAGGGTCGAGGGATTTCCCACCCTCTTGTGCCCGCCTGTGATCAGGGGCTTGGCATGATCCACTGCCCTGCCCCGTGCCTCAGTTTCCCTCTCTGTGCTGACCCTGCCAGGGCATAGAGCCATTCCCAAGGAGCCCTGCCAGCATCTCAGAGGATGCCCAGAGCCCAGGCAGTGCCACGGGGCCCTGCCCAGCCGCAGCGAGGAGCCGGCAGCGTCCCCCTCCCCACCCAGGCCTGGGGCTGGTTGTTTGTTTGCTCCTAATCCGGCCCCAGGGAGGCTGCACGGAGCAGCAGCCACAAACACCAGGGCCGCTGGGACCAATTACTGCGGCATCGCCTCATCCGCAGCCCAGGGGACCCATTAGCCAGCTGCCCCCTCCCCATGGGGCTATGGCTGAGGGCCGGGGGGAGGGGGGCACTGGCCTATTGTCCCCTCCCACTGATCCATGCCTGGGGCCTGCAGCACCCCACTGCCTCCTGCAGGCAATGCCACGGCGCAGCACCCAGTGCCAGCCTTGCCCCACAGGGTCCCTCCCTGCTGGGGGCCAGGGCACTGCTGGGCAGGAAGAGTACAGCGCTGGGGGCACCCAGGGCTGCAGCTGTGCCAGGAGCCAGCAGGCCACAGGGCACATGCGTGATCCACACATGTGATCCGTGCACCACCCCCGCACCCCGGAAGGAGCCAGAGCCCGGCGTGGCATGGGAGCTGTGTCTTGAGTCACAGAGCGCGGCGGAGGCCGGCGGGGGCGGAGGCCAGGCCCTGCAGGCAAGGCAGGAGGGCCAGGGCTGGCGCCAGGTGCAGGGCGAAGAGGAGCGTGGCCGGCAGCAGCTGGGTGAGGAGCACATGCCCGGCGCCCGCCGCGGCCTGCAAGAAGAGCACTCCAGTCTCTGCCAGGGCGCACAGCATCGTCACCCCGGCCAGCACCTCCAGGAGCCACCGCAGGATGGCACCCGTGCCCATGCCTCTCCCGCTGCCGGCACCCTGTAGGGAGAGACAGGCTGGGGCAGGCACGGAGAGCAAGGGACTTGCCTGGGGCACCCAGCAGGGCAGTGGCAGAGCCAGGAGCAGAGAACCCAGGCATCCTGAGGTGGGATCTGGCTGGCCTGGGGGTGTCCTGGATGGGTCTGGGGCACGGCAAGTGCCCGGTGGCGGCTGGCACTGAGTAACCAGCTACCCAGGGGTATCTGCACCCACCCCCTGGTGCACAGCTGCTGCGCCCGCTGGCCTGCATCCACAGCAGCAGGGGCATCCAGGCCATGGATTCAGACCTCCACAGGGGTCCGGAGCACCCGGGGCAGCTCGGACAAGGGGCACTAAGTTGCTCCGTCCGTACCAGGTGGAAGCTGGAGGGGAGCAGGTGCCTGGTGGGTCCCCGTGCAGCTCGGGGGGCAGAAAGGGCATGGGGGCACCGTGCCTAACAGGGAGCACGGAGCCGCCGGGTCACACAAGGGGCAGGGGAAGGCACATGGAGCAGGGGCATGAGCGGGAGCCCCTGCAGAGCCACGGTGCAAGGCCACGAGCACATCCTGGAGGCTGCCCAAGCACCCCACTAAGGTGCCCGTGGCACAAAGCCGGCAGCCTTGCCAGCTCCCTGCAGGGTTCAGAGGGGCACAAAGGGTAGTTACCGTATTTCTGGGATTATAACTCGCACCCTGGTTCCCAGCTGCTGAACTAGGGAGGCGCGCTGTTTGCCAGCAAATACGGCAGCCCCTGCTCGAGTCACCATCCGCTTTGGTGGGAGAGGGGAGCTCAGGCCTGGGATGAGATGGAAAAAGGGACCAGGCCCCCAAACCAGCACCCAGCACCCACCGGCCTGTCCAGTGACACCCGCCGACACGGCTCCCCAGGCGTGACCACGCGTGTGCGCAGGCAGTCTTTGTGGAGGAAGGGAGGGAGGTTCGCTGCGCTGCACTGCCCCGTCCACCTTCTGGGGGGGTCCCCAGCTCCATCAGCCCCAGCCGAGCCCCCAGTGCCGGGGGGGGAGCAGCCATGGCTCTGGCCATGAGAGACCGAGATCCCCCCCTGCCCCCAGTGCCCCCCAGCCCACACCACGGAGCCCGGGGTTACCTCCTGCTCAGCCACGTGCAAAGGGCTCTGTGCCGCCCCTGCCACGCGTGCTCTGCTCTCAGCCCACGTGCTGGCAGGTGCCGCGGCCCCCCGGGGCCTCCCTCCCACCCCGGCCAGGGCCATTGTGACACGGCGGTGGAGCTACGGTGTTCATGCGCGTCCCCTTGCACCCGAGTCCATCGCCAGCCTCGTGCTGGGCTCTGGAGGACACAGGAGCCCGTGCCCTGTGCGTACCGTATTTCCCAGCATACAACACACCCCACGTAGACAGTACACGCCTTGTTAGTGAAAGGCAGAACGAAGAAGGGAAGATCGTGCCTTGAAGCAGCAACTGCAGAGCCCAGCAGGCTCACTGCACTCCCCCTCATCGCCCCCCAGCCCGCCTTGAGCTGCTATTACTGTATTTCCTCAGTTATGACATGCCCCATCTCCAGCAGCAGATGCTGCGAACAAGACAGCAAAAGAAAATAAGAGTGGAGTGCCTGGCAGCCTGCACGGAGGGAAAGGGAAGCAATGGGTGGAAGGGCCTGATGCTGGGACACAGGTCCTGGAGCCTGGGCACCGGTCCCTGCTAGGAGACCAGATGTGGAGCCAGGGGTGGAAGCAAGGGGCTGAGCTAGACAGAGCTGGGGGCAGGGGGCAGGGAGCTGGGCTGGGCACGGAGGGGCCCTGAGAGCCAGGCCAGGCAGGTACCAGTGCTACGCCCAAGCCTGGGCCGCCCGCTCTGGGCATGGACTCCAGCACCTGTCCCAGAGCCAGGAGCAGCGCTGGCACGGAGCCGACAAGCACCAGGGCGCTTCCTCCGCACAGCCAGCATCTGCCGATCCAGAATGGGCTCGCGGCACTTCCCGGGGTCTCGAAAGCACCTTGTCTCTCTGGCTGCGGAGAGCAGGACCCTGAAGTTGCAGCCAAGCAGGTTGAGGCTGGATCTTGGGAAACACATCTTCCCTGTCCGAGCAGGGGGCTGAGGAGATGCCAGGGACGGGGAGTCTCCATCCCTGGAGGGTGCGAGGAGAGGCTGGACGGGCGCTGCGGGGGGATGATCCAGGCGCAGCGATGCCCGTGCTCTGCTGTGGGGTCTCCCAGGCATCTGGGCTGTGATGGTTGCCCTCTTCTCCCCTCTTTCCTGCCCTGTGTGTCAGGAGGTTTGAAGCCTCCCCCAGAGGCGCTGGTGCTGCAGCCCAGGCTGGGGATGGGGCTCCTGCTGTGCCCATGCTCCTGCTGCACCGACCCCGCAGGGTCCTGGCTGGAGGGTCTTGCCCCTGCTCTCAGGCTCAGCCCAACGCTGCACTGGGGCAGGAAGGGATTTTGCCCCTGGTCAGACTGGTGCACGCTGGGGGTTTCCCCTTCCTCCGCAGCCTGGGGTCACCCCACCCCTGGCAGTAGCAGGACGTTGGTGGTCATGGCCCCCCTGTATCCCGGGACAGGGGCGAGGGCGATGCCTGGGGCAGTGTCAGGGTGACTGTGTCGTGTGGCTCTGAGGTCGGACATGGGGTTTGTCTGCGGGGTTCGGACAGGGCTGATCCTGTCTCAGGCCAGGCTTGGACTGGACGTGACCCTGCAGCTCCTGCCAGCCCCGCGGCTCTGGGGCTCTGATCTCTGATTATTTAACAGCCATTTCCAACTGCAGGACTCGGGCAAGCACCTGGGGTGGAGGTTCCCAAAGCACTTGAAAGCCGGTGGGTCAAACCCTTGGCAGGATCCTGCCTCCAACCAAGGGCACTGACCCTACCGGGCCCTGGCACTAAGTGACCCCAGGGCTGGCATTAGCAGGTTCCCGGGATACGTGGGACCGGGTACAAAGGAAATCCTGTAGGCTCAGAGCCAGGTTTCCCCTCCCACCTGCCCCTCGGGATAGAGGAGCGCTCCCGTCGCCCTGGGTCAAGCTCTTCTCCTGGAGACAAAGCCCAGGTTCAAGCCAGGTCCGGTCACTGGTCACCGAGCACAAGCTTTGTAGGCTCCACGGTCTCAAAGCCTCTCCAGTGAGACTCGACCAGCCCCTCGGGACCCTGGGCATCGCCCTCCCAGGGCAAGAGGCTGCAGGGGAATGAGAGATTTGCCCCTAAACTCAAACATGAGTCCTCCCGAAAGCAGCAGGTCCTGGCCGCATTTGCGAGCAGCTTCCAGCAGAGGGAAAAATCGGACAAGAAAAGGGCTGATGGGTTTCGCTGCTCCCAGCAAGACGTTGCAGAGGCTCCGGCTTCGGAAAGGGGCTGGGCAAGGGTCAGTCGATGCTTCATAACCACCTGGCAAAGCAAAGCAGACCCCAGAGCTCAGGGCGGCCCGGGACCTGTCAGGGTCTCCCCCACCTCCTCCCTCGGGCAGGGCAGTTTTACTGGGTCAGAAGTGAAAAAAAAGTTGGGGTTTGTTTGGGGTTTCTTGTGGCCCGAGCTAGGTTTGGTTTTTGCAGCCTCTTGTCTCTGAGCTTTCCCAATTGGGTCCATTTTAAACCAGAAGAGCATCCGCTGGGGCACAGCAGCGGTCCATATTAACCTTTAAACTTCCCCCAGAAGGTAGCCAGGACCAGCTGGGGGTGACCAGCCATATTTTCTATCATACAACACACCCCGGGATATAACACATGCCTTGCCTTTAAAAGTCAGGTTACAGCAAGGAGGGTTTTGTGTCTCATATGAGCAGCAGCCGGGCCAGACTGGGTCTGACTAATGGTCCCGCTAGCCCCATGTCCTGTCTCGGGCAGCAGCAGGGGTGGGAGAGCGCTGAACCAGATCTCTCAAGGGATCCTCCCCCTATTCAGCACCCTCCCTGGCATCCCACATTATAGGGTGAGAGATGCCAGAGGAAACGTCTCCACCTGTCCTGCTCCACAGCCACGGACAGATGCACCCTGCAGCCATGTGTGCAGCCCCTTGCTGAGCTCTCTGCCCCCACCCCTCCTGGGGCAATGAATTCCTGCGCGTTGCATAGAGAAGTCCTGTCTCTTGTTGATTTTAAACCTGTCTCCTGCTCATTTCAGCCATGCCCCCTGGTTCTGGTGTCCTGGGGCTTGGGGTGCAACAAGCCCCTGTTCCCTTGCCCTGCTGGAGGCAGCATCGGCCCTTCTTCCCTGCACCCCTCTCCAAGCCCCCAGTGCTGAGCCCAGGCAGATGCAGAGAGCCTGATGAGTGAGATCTCCAGCTTCATCCTGGGAGTTTGTAGAGGTGGTTTCAGCAAAGCCTTGTTGGGGGCAAAGAGGTGGCGAGCAGGCTCCACGAGGGAGCACGGGGCGGTTGGGGCATGACTGGGACGGGAGCGGGGCCTAAAACAGACGGGCAGGGACTGGGCAGTCACTTTGGGCAGATCCAGCATGAAGTTACGAGACGGGGGCTGGGAGCAGGCAGCTGCGGGTGCATGGGGCTGGGCTGTGGGAGCTCCCGGAGCTCATCCAGGAGCTGCTGCCGGAGGCCAGGGGTCCGAGCTGCAGCCAGCAGAAAGAACCAGGCTGCAGGACAAAGCCAGGCGACCGACAGGCCAGACCCAAGGGCTGGACACCAGAGATCAAGAGGCAGGAGCAGGGCACCGGCAGCCGCAGGCCAGCCGGAGACTCCTGGCAGTGGAGCGCCTGCCTGGGACTGACAGAGCAAGCAGGCCGCGGGAGCAGTTTGGGGGCATTAGGACCCTGGCAACCCAGCTCATGCAGTAGCCAGGGCCAGCTGGGGGCCATATGCCGTATTTTTTGGCATACAACCCTCCCTGGAATACAACACACACCTTGCTTTTGACAGGCAAAATGACGAGGGGGAAGGGGGCGAGATTTTCCCCATAGAGATCAGGCACAGAGCCAAATTTTCAGCTCACTCATCCTCCCTTTCTGACTTAACTCAAGCTGAACCCCTAGATGCTGCTGAAGCCTGGTCTCCAGCAGGGGAGCTATGATTTTGAAAAGCGCTAAAGGGTTTCCAAGGTTATAAAACAGGAGA